ACAGTTTATTCCTTTTTCCTATTGTAATTTTTCTAATTAACATAGAGAGATTTTAACAAACGTGAGCATTAGAAAAATACATAGCTGATACACACAGATATCAAAACCCAGCAAATGAATCTCAGCAATGGTGACAATCAACAAAATATTCAGATAATCGGATCAACTCTGAACATCACAAAAAGCTACTACATGTAGAAATTACATAGATTGATATAAGACTGGTCTGTTTGTTGATGTATTTACAAATTATTGTTTGAAAGGTGGATTTCACAATCCAAGGGCAAACCGAGGTGTCAGACACATTTTCTGCAGACTTTAAAGTGTTAAGTTTACTGTGCATTATTTTTTCTTCAGGGACTATGAAGGATATAAAAGGCAGGTGGTCCACACTAGAGGAGAAGCAGAAAGACAAATATAAACAGGAAGCAGCAGCGCTGAGGGCACAAGGGCAAGATCTTAGCATTGAAATGAGGGAGCTCAAAAAAAAAAAGAAAAATCTGAACCAGCTGAAATTACAGGTTTGGAAAGAAGGGAACTTAAAGGCAAGGTCCATGATGTTTTTAAAATACATTTTTACAATATTGATTTAATTCCACTTCAACAACTGTTTGTGACCAATTAATTAGATGATCTATCACAAAAGAACAACATTTACCTGGTGAACATACAGGACTGAAAAACACCAAGCAGTCATTTCACAAGGATGAAGAAATGATTGAATGGTCATATGTCAATCAAAAACAGTTGGCATTGGTCCCTCCCCCAGACGGGTCCAAGCATTGCATGTTACTGTACTCTGGATGCGTAGTTTCGGGGCGAAGTCTTGGACTTCTGAATTGTATATTTTCAAAATTTAGCTTGCTCAAGCTGTTTTTCCAGAAACCTGGACCCTGCCTTTAATTTGATTTGATAAGTGGTATTGTTGTTGTAGATTTAAGGATTATTAACCACAAGTGTGAATGGAGCAGAACACAATGGCTATTTCTGTTCATATTTTGATTTGATTCTTTGATGATTCAGCATTCACACCAATTATATTCTCCACATTTTTTCTGCACATCATTTAGACTCTTAATGTGTAGTAAATGTAATTTCCTTAAGCACTTATTTCTCACAATATTTTCACCCAGTAAAAGTGTTTTCATATAGACTGCCATGCCCTGTTATGAGTTGTTTCTTCAGTATATGTTGGAATGTTGGTATGCATGTTGGATTTTTTTATTTGATATTCTTTTTTACCTGAAAATGGTAAAGGTGTCCAAACTTGAGGAGTTGGGTGTTGAGACGGCCATTTTAATCTTTTGACCGACAAAAGTCTGGCCTAGAGGTCTACGAAGTCAGCAGCAAAGGGGCAGCTGACTTCCTTGACTCCGCAGACACAGCAAACAACTTTGCACTGCACTTCAAAGGTGATACTGTTTTTATGAAAAACTACACAAATGGCTTGTAATAGTGCAAAGATACGTAATACGATTCTGTTAGATAAATGATATGGTTTGTCCTTACGTTTGCAGCCAATTCCTCTTGCACTACCGACAGCACCACCCACAGCAACAAAGGTCAAGTCAATGACCTGGTTAAGAAAGTGCAGGACCTCTTCAATCAAAGATATAGTAAGCATATTTTCTAACTTTTTTATAGGTAAATGTGAAAAATATATAAATATTTACATATATTGATAAGCTAATATGCCTCCATGAATCTGTGGCATTTTAAGTAACTTGTTAAATTGTTTACCTATAGCATACAATCTTAAGAATTACATGTTTACAGTCTATGCACTGATTATAAACCGGTAGGGAAGTCGGAATTGTCAAACTGAAAAATTGTGTGCATGCATGAGCATATTCATGTCTTTCAGAGGAGGCTGGAGGTTCTGGAAGGCTCCCTAAAAGGCCTTTTAAACCAAGGCCTGACGGTAGTTGGACTGCCAAATGGCCTTGGTCTAAGGAAGCCATCTTTTTATGGAAGAAACCAATTAGATGCCATTTTGAAAGATGCTGAGCAGATTTCATTTGAAATTAGTAAGTCATATTTAGACTTACTAGTGGCAGTTGTATTTCTGCATGCTATTTCGCTCTTTGAACACTGAGCGAATAATGAGGTAACAAAAATATTACAATATTGTGCAGGGCCATTATAAACATCCCAAACTGATTTTTGTGTTTTGTTCCAGAATCAAAATTATAGTGGAACACCATTTTTAAGGCACCTCTCCAGATAGTCTTTACATAGTTGAATATGATTTTGGAGACTGTGATTGCCCATTACAGAGGTTTACATTTACAAACCATGACAAGCGGTGCAGTATAAAGCATACAGTGCAGTATACAGTTAAGAAAGTAGTATGTAATAGTAGTAATATAAATGAAATATAAATGTGCAATGTATTAGCAGTAGCCTTATGCAGTATAGTAGCAGTAACAGTATAAGAGTAGTACAAATAATATATACAGTGTATTAACAGTAATATAATAAAAATACCCTGCAAAAAATTACCCTTCCAATTACGGCATCTTTAACATCAACAAGGGCGGACACCTGAACGCTGTGAAACTGGTCTATTACCCAAGGTAAGGGAACAGGTGGAACCAATATATCAAAGTTACAAACCATTTCTTTTTAATCAGTGATGTGGGGAAGGGTGCAGAACCTCAGTGGTAGAGGCAGAGGATGGAAAGGCAACTCCAGTAATAACATGGGCTCTGAGGTAGGGCTGCACGATTAATCGCACGATATTGTTATGCGCATCTCATCAGTAAAGCCGGTTCCTTGATTGGTAGTAAATCACCTTCACCTGCTTTCAGATGGCCGATATGATGCAGATATGTGTGTTAAATTAACACTCAAGTGTTAAAGTTAATGAGATAATTAAGTGATTAATTTAGTGATCATTGAGCATTATTGAAGACACCTGATGATAACAAGCAGAATCACTGAAGGAGAAAATCTAAAATTGTAAGCCACCGTTATGGCGATCAGTGTATGCTTTAGTTGGGCTCTTGATCCTTATACTTTTAAGTTTAAATTTTGTTTGTCTGCTGTCATTGATTTATTACAGTCAAATGAACAAAGACAAGTGTGATCTGATAGTGTTGGTTATGTTTTGACATAATCATCCTGTGATCTGAAAAATGAAACTCATTCAGATGATCTGGTTTAACTTGATAGCAACAGTTTAGTGGTTCTACAGCATATGATAATTGTATTTTTCTTATAATCCAACACATTTAATAAAAAAAATTCTGATCAAATCACTTTCAAATGCATTTATTTAGAAACACAGACATCAATAATCAGCCTGTGAATCTCAACCATGGTGACAATAATAATCCTTGTTGCCACCAATCACAACTCATTAATGGCTCCCATCATTGCGGTATGAATAAATTATGATCTGAATTGTCTATGTAATTTACTTTTCCTAATTGAATATTCTGCTCGTCACCATTGTTGAGATGCATTGACTGAATCTTGATATCTGTGTGTGCCTAAAAGAAATATTTTTTCTTTTTGTTTTACAACTTTTAAGAAATCCTTTATATTATATCTCAAATTCTGGATATTTATGCAGAATCTCAGTTATGCTGTAACCAACAGACTAAATAACGAACAATTAGTTCAAATGATGAATGTCATAATATAACCAACACCATTAGATCATTTTTTTTCTTTGTTCATCTGGCATGTATAACTCGGATACAACAGCCAAACAAAATCTAAAGTTAATTATATAAGGGTCAAGAGCCCAACTGAAGCAAACACTCATCTCCATAATGGTGACCTAATATTCCGGTTTTCTCCTTCAGTGATTCTGCTTTAGGTATCTTCAATAATGCTCAATCATCACTCAATTAATCACTTAAATATCTCATTAACTTTAACACTCTTGAGTGGACTCATATACACTCCCAGGTGTGTTCATTTAACACTGAGTTTTTGCTGTGTACAAAGAGCCGTAGTTAACTGACAAGCTGAGCCATATCGCATTAAATATCGTTGGCGATATGTCCTCAATTTTAACGCGATTTGGCTCAGCTTGTCAGTGAACTACGGCTCTTTGTAGTAAATGCCGCTCCATCTGAAAGCAGGTGAAGGTGATTTACTACTAATCAAGGAACCGGCTTTACTGATTAGATGCGCATAACAATATCGTGCGATTAATCGTGCAGCCCTACTCTGAGGCCTTACGCCCCTGATCACTACACTTCTAAGCGGGCAAGCTATCAGGCTGCAGTACACAGGTGCCAGACATTCCTCCTCCTGTAAATCATGGCTGGAAGATGGTAGGAGATTTCTATGGAGTGGACTGGACTGGATGACACTTCTGCCAGCTCCAGAGGCCATACTGGAACTTGTGCACTGCTTGTGTAAAAAAACAAATTGTGTTAAGGGTAGATGCTAGGGATGCTCCGATCAGGATTTTTGCAGCCGATACCGATTGCCGATTTCTTGTCATGGTGATCTGCCGATTACGATCCCGATGCTTAATATAAGACAAAGATAAATACAAACAAAATGGAGCAGTCTGATGCAGCAAACAAGGTTTAATTAAACATTGTCCAATATAGTAAACTTGAGGACAAAATAAAAAATTAAATGCCTAAAATAGAGAAGTCTGATGTACCTTGACAAAATTCATTAAAATAAAAAGATAGTAGTGTGGAGTGCAGTAAGTGAGGAGACAAGAGACGGAGATGCGTCGAGTCAACTTTACTATCCACTTCAATATTTCTATCACAAGTACAGCGAGTGATATCAAAACATAAACACAACGTCAAAAACCGGAACTCGTCATCGTCTAACCCCCCCTTCCTTAAAGGTACAGTCCCTTGGTGAATGTCTCTTTCAGACTTCCTTGTGGGTCACTACACAGGCCCCCCCAGAATTCACCCATAAACAGGGCCAGGCCGAACATGTACCCCAAATAGAACTTGTGACACTATGCACTAGTGCAAAACAGAACAGTCCAGCACATAACAGTCCTTCCAACAAAATCAACGTACAGGGGGGCGGACTTGGCGGCCATAGCGGCTGCGCTTAACAGTAGAGGGGCCAAGGGCAAGGGGCGGGGCAGGGGCAGGGGTCGCGGTTGCCGCAGGTGGGCGCCCTTGCCTTGGGGGCAGGGCCAGCTGAAGCGGTTCGCCAATATCCACATGAGCAGGCTTGAGACGGTCAATAGCCATCCGCTCAGGCCTGCCGCCCATATCCACGACAAAGTTCTTAACCCCCCCCACCAGGACACGGAAGGGCCCATCGTATGGGGGAAGCAGCGGTGTCCGATGGCCATCATGGCGGATGAAGACATACTTGGCTGATGGTAAATCCTTGGGCACATAGGACCGGGGAAGGCCATGGTGAGACGTTGGAATAGGAACAAAAGCATCTGCAATGTCCCGAGATGCAGCCCGATGTGAGGCAACTGACCACGGGGCGGTGGCATCTGGAAGAAACTCCCCCGGAACACGCAGAGGCTGGCCATACACCAGCTCGGCCGATGAGGCTTGAAGATCTTCCTTAGGGGCGGAGCGAAGGCCAAGCATAACCCATGGGAGGCGGTCAGCCCAGTCGCTGCCCGTAAGGCTGGCCCTGAGCGCGGCCTTCATGTCACGATGAAACCGCTCGCACAATCCGTTGCTCTGTGGGTTATAGGCTGTGGTACGGTGGACCTTCACCCCAAGGACCTCGGCGACCGCAGACCAAAGCTCCGACGTGAACTGCGGACCCCGGTCCGAGGAGAGGTCGGACGGTGTGCCAAAACGGGCCACCCAAGCCATAATGAACGCCCGGGCCACTTCCGCTGATGTAGTGGAGGACAGGGGAACTACTTCTGGCCACCTGGTGGTCCTGTCCACCATGGTGAGGAGGTAGGTGTAACCACGGGAGGGGGGAAGTGGGCCTACCAGGTCCACATTCACATGATCAAAACGTCTCTCTGGCACTTTGAAGGGTGCCAAAGGAGCCTTGGTATGACGAGTCACCTTTGCGCGCTGGCACGCCACACAGGCCGCAGGCTCCGCTCACCCACTGCTCACACACAGCCCCCACGGCGTAATCAGAGGCGTCCGTAGTAAGAGCAACTGGGGCGGTTGGAGACGGGTGCGCCAGCAGAGCAGCGTTGGCCAGTGCAGTTTTGGCAGCATCAAACGCATCAGCCATCTCTGGGGACCAAGCCAACACGTCCGCCGGTCTCCTACCCCGCAAAGCGTAGTACAATGGACGCATGAGCTGGGCCGCACGGGGGAGGAAACGGTTGTAGAAGTTCACCATGCCCAGGAACTCCTGCAGGGACTTCACAGTGCGTGGGCGTGGAAAACTGGCGACGGCCTCCACCTTGGCAGGGAGGGGAACTGCCCCCTGTGGGGTGACGTGGTGGCCGAGGAAACTGACGGATGACCGGCCAAACTCGCACTTGGCCGGGTTGATGATGAGGCCATGCTCACTGAGCCGGCCGAACAACTGCCGGAGATGCGTCCGGTGGTCGTCTGCGGACGCGCTGGCCATGAGAATGTCGTCCAAGTAAACAAACATGAACGGCATATCTCGCAGCACCGAGTCCATGAGGCGCTGAAACGTCTGCGCTGCCCCCTTGAGGCCGAAAGGCATCCGTAGGAATTCGAAAAGGCCAAAGGGTGTGATGACTACTGTTTTGGGGACATCCTGCGGGTGGACAGGCACCTGGTGGTAACCGCGCACCAGGTCCACCTTTGAGAAAATGGTGGCACCGGCTAGGTGGGCGGAAAAATCCTGGATGTGCGGCACTGGGTACCGGTCGGGTGTGGTGGCGTCGTTCAGGCGACGGAAATCTCCACAGGGACGCCATCCGCCATCAGCCTTGGTCACCATGTGCAAGGGGGACGCCCACGGGCTGTTGGAGCGGCGCACGATGCCGAGGTGCTCCATGGTGGCGAACTCCTCCCTGGCGATAGCGAGCTTGGCAGGGTCGAGGCGCCGGGCTCGTGCGTAAACTGGGGGGCCCACCGTGGTGATGTAGTGCTCTACGCCATGCTTAGCCACCGCCGATGAAAACGTGGGTGTGGTGATGTCAGGGAACTCAGCAAGTAGGCGTTGATACAGGTCCCCGTTGGTCAGCGTGTTCGACAGACAAAGCGCCCCTGTCCCTCCCAGCGTGCAGGGGTACGAAGCAAAAGAGAGGGCATCGATCAGGCGGCAGTTTGTAACATCCACCAACAGTCTATAAGCGCAGAGAAAATCCGCCCCCAGGAGCGACGTAGACACAGCAGCCATGACGAAGTCCCAACCGAAACGCCGTCCGCCGAAACAAGTCAAGTCAAGTCACCTTTATTTATATAGCGCTTACAATACAGATTGTATCAAAGCGCTTCACAGTGATAACATGAAAACAATATAACAAAGTTTGTTTATAAAAGAAATTGCGTCAATGTCCACCTTAAGTAAGGCAGATCAATAATATTATTGAATATTAAATGTCCCTAACTAAGCAAGCCAAAAGCCAAGGCAACAGTGGCAAGGAACCAAAACTCCATCAGGTGACAGAATGGAGAAAAAAACCTTGGGAGAAACCAGACTCAGTCGGGGGGCCAGTTCTCCTCTGACTAACGAAGGAACAGTGCATGATTCGGGCAGCATTACAAGTCAGATTGGATCGGAACATTTAGAGTATTTTTTGGAAGTCCAAGTAATCACGCCGGTCTTAAGACGAGTAGTTGAGGATCAGTGCCGTCCACCATAGAGAGTCCATATCGCCCGTGTTGAGTCGTCACTTCACAGGCTTTGTGATTGGAGCATCTGAAGTCTCCGAGAGTGGCTGGATACAAACTGGAGCTGACGAACGCCATTTTCTCGGGACTCGCGTCCCGAGATAACAGCAGAAAAGCAAAGGGAAAATAATTAGCGTAGCTGCTGTTCATAATGATGATTTCCATAGCACAGTCGTAAATGATAAAACATGAAGACAGTGACTCTTGCGTCCCAAAATCACCCCCCTCCGTCCCCCACTCAACTCAGCCCAGCTTACTGACCTCTACGTCCCTCCTGCTGCTGAGACCTAACCACAATCTCACAATCTCTCCGCAACCCAACCATATGCGCCAACCCGTTGACTAAGGCTGTCGAGCCCCACTGGTGCGTGAATAGGCAGTTTCAGTGGACAACGGTTCCGTATGGCATACTACCTACCGCAACACAATATCTGCCCAACCACCCGTCATTCACGCAATATACACAGGAACGTAATGACTGCAAATACTATGCAACCTATACAGATAACCTACAGTCTCTTCAAGTTTTATAGTATTAAATGCATTTGATCTGATTCAGCAGTATTATAAAAGGTAAGCATTATGTAAATGCTTGGCTAAAGAGATGCGTCTTTAATCTAGTTTTAAACTGGGACAGCGAGTCAGAGCCTCGAACAATATCAGGAAGGCTATTCCAGAGTTTAGGAGCTAAATGTGAGAACGCCCTCCCTCCTTTAGTGGACTTAGATATCCTAGGAATGACTAGAAGCCTCGAATTTAGTGATCTTAAAGAACGCGATGGATTGTAGGGCGATAGAAGGTCCATTAAATACACAGGAGCTAAACCATTTAGGGCTTTATAGGTCAGTAATAGTACTTTGTAATTGATACGGAACTTGATAGGTAACCAGTGTAGAGATGATAAAATCGGTGTTATATGATCATATTTTCTTGACCTAGTAAGAACTCTAGCGGCTGCATTTTGCACTAACTGTATTGAGGATGCAGGACAACCAGCTAATAAAGCATTACAGTAATCTAGTCTCGAGGTCATGAATGCATGAACTAACTTTTCTGCATCAGAAACAGATAGCATGTTACGTAATTTAGCAATGTTTCTAAGATGGAAAAAGGCTGTTCTTGTAACATATGAAATATGATTTTCGAAAGACAAGTTTCGGTCTAGTATAACACCCAGGTCTTTTACAGTGGAGGATAAAGTAACAGGACATCCTTCTATATTAAAGTTGTATTGTAAGTGGTTTTGTGGATAGTTTTTTGGACCAACAAATAATACCTCCGTTTTATCTGGATTTAGTCTTCCACATGCCTCGTGCCATAGGTACGAATGGGTGTGCCGTTAGCGGCGTCCATCGGGGGGCCGTGCCCGCCAGCCATGGTGTCCACAGGCTGCGCTGGCAGGATGCTGCGCTGAGCCCCAGAATCGACCAGCAGCCGCCCGCCAGACAAGGTGTCAGTGATGAATAACAGCTTGCAGTCACGGCCAGCGCCCATAGCTGCTAATGAGCGCCGGCCCTGGCTTTTCCCTGGGCTCCGAAACTGCAAGGCTGACGACACTGCTTGGCTTTTGCCCCAAACCTGGAATGGTAATAACACCACCCGTCCTCACGCTGTCGGCGGGCCGTCACAGCAGCTGCAGTGTCTGGGTCGTCCTCCGAGGGTGGAACAGACGTGTGCTGGGTGGGCAGCAGTGCATGTACAAACTGCTGTCGGTTGGCGAGGAATATCCTGTCTGCCTCCACAGCCAGTGCTCGGTAGTCTCTGGAGGAAGGGAGGGGGGAACTAGCCAGTGCGGTGCGCACGGGTGCTGGAAGCTGCCGCAGGAATATGTGGGCGAAAAGGAACGAGGGATCCGCCGCGCCCAGCACCGCCAGCATCCTCTCCATTAACTCGGACGGCTTGCTGTCGCCAAGGCCGTTCAGGGACAGCAGGCGGTCTGCCTTCTCCAGTTCTGACAGTTCAAAGAGGCTCAACAGGAACGTTTTAAGTGCGTCGTACTTGCCGTCAGCTGGAGGAGCCTCTAACAGCGCCATAGCCCTGGCCGTCGTCGAGGCATCCAAGGCCGCTACTACGTGGAAATACTTTGTAACGTCCTGTGTTATTCCTCTCACCTGGAACTGTGCCTCGATGTGCTGAAACCACGGCCGTGGATTGTGTTGCCAAAAGTCCGGTAACTTGATGGTGGCTGCGTAGATAGCGCCGACATTAGCCGCGCCGCTAGCAGCAGCCGGCGCTGCGGCCGCAGCGTTTTCACCACCATCGTTGTGTGACATAATTCAGCCGTGTTCAACTCGCATCAGGGGTCACCAATGTGGAGTGCAGTAAGTGAGGAGACAAGAGACGGAGATGCGTCGAGTCAACTTTACTATCCACTTCAATATTTCTATCACAAGTACAGCGAGTGATATCAAAACATAAACACAACGTCAAAAACCGGAACTCGTCATCGTCTAACCCCCCCTTCCTTAAAGGTACAGTCCCTTGGTGAATGTCTCTTTCAGACTTCTGTCACTACAGTAGAGTAGTAGATAAGTAAAGATTGAGTAGTTTGATGCTACTCATTAGAAGGGATGGGCATTTAAGCAAAAATAGCATTCGAAGATCTGGGTATTATTCGATTATTCGAAATCGCACCCCAACCCCATATGCACACACACCTGCATGTATAGCCTAGGCCACACACGGGAAAAGCGGAGTGGTGTGACGTTTAAATATAACTTAAAAACATAAAATATACGTTTCATATTTATATTCTCATATTCTTTTTTTAAAATTTCATCTATGTTGATTATATGAAAAAGGAATCGCATGAGATGGGTAGGATCATAAGATGACCAATATATCAGGATACATTTTGAATGGGTCAGACATGACCAGAGGTGGGAAATCCAGGGGCCAATGAGTAGAAGTCCTGCCATATGTTTATTCCACCCATGAACTCAGTCAGCTGATTTCACTAATTAGTTATGTCTCCTGTCTGAATTAGCAAATCCAGGTGATTGGAACAAAATACTGAGGAGGACTTTTACTTTCTGAACCTGGACTTTACACCTCTGCATAGCAATGCCACACGTCAGCTAAGAGCAAAGAAATAAACCAGAACTGGACCTTATTGTAGCCAAAAAAATTCTGTGTATATTAAATATGGATTAGTTTCAGCCACAGCCTCAGATGAAATCAACTGAAGAGAAAAGAAGACATTAAATCTGTAAAGATCTCAGCAGAGGAGGATTAAACAACTCCACAAACAGCATTACCAGCTTCACTTATTACTAACCAGACTGACTTTATTTTTGTCAGACTTCTACAAAAGTTTTATTGAGAATTAACAGAGGTTTAACTCTAATGTGTTTCATTTGAAATCACCATAACAGTGATTAGTGTTTCTATTAGTTGGGCTCTTAACTCTTAATATATGTATTGTGTTTTTTTTTGGCCGCTTTGACAGTGTGTTTCTCAAACACATTTGCAGCAGCAAAGAAAACTAAACTGAAATGAGATCAAGTGATGATGGTTTCCTGTTGATGGTTTTATAATCATCATGAAATAACCTGTGTAACCGGTATTTCAATTTAACAATTATGTTGTTCCTCTAATACGTATATTCACATCACAAACCCTGTGTTACTGCAGCATGAGATCCAGCATAATAACAATCGGTTTAAATCTTTAAACAAACATGAAATAAAAAGTTGGTTTATGCTGACACTCACAGATATCAACAATCAGCGTATGAATCTCAACAATGGTGACAATCACAAATATTTAGATAAACAGAATAATTCAGAACATCACTGAAAAGCTACTAATTCACAACAAAAACAACAGCAAAACATAAAAGCAAATATTTAGAATCAAACAAAATTATAGGACAATTCAGCTTTTTTATTCATGTTGCAATGCATGCTGGGAGTTTGGTACTATGCTGGTACCCAGCATGCATTGCATCAAAGTACTTTGAATTGTCATCATTGTTGAGATTCATACGCTGATTGTTGATGTCTGTGTGTGTCATGTTAAACTGACTTTTTCATGCTCATGTTTGTTAAAGTCTTCTAACTGATTGTTATAAAATTTCTGGATCTCATACTGCAGTAACACAGGGTTTGTATCAAGATTTTTTTTTTAATGTGACAACATAATTGTTAGATTAAAATACCTCAGTGAATCAGTCTGTTTCATGATGATTATAAAACCATCAACAGGAAACCATCATCACCTGATCTCATTTCACTTTAGGTTTCTTTGCTGCTGCAAATGTGTTTAATAAACACACTGTCAAAGCATCCAAAAAATACAATACATATATTAAGAGTTAAGAGCCCAACTAATGGAAACACTAATCACTGTTATGGTGACTTCAAATGAAACACATTAGAGTTAAACCTCTGTTAATTCTCAATAAAACTTCTGTAGACGTCTGACAGAAATAAAGTCAGTCTGGTTAGTAATAAGTGAAGCTGGTAATGCTGTTTGTGGAGTTGTTTAATCCTCCTCTGCTGAGATCTTCACAGATTTAATGTCTTCTTTTCTCTTCAGTTGATTTCATCTGAGGCTGTGGCTGAAATTACTTCATATTTAATATACACAGATTTTTTTTGGCTACTATAAGGTCCAGGTCTGGTTTATTTCTTTGCTCTTGGCTGACATGTGGCATTACTATGCAGAGGTGTCCAGGTTCAGAAAGTAAAAGTCCTCCTCAGTTTTTTGTTCCAATCATCTGGATTTGCTAATTCAGACAGGAGAGAGAACTAATTAGTGAAATCAGTTGACTGAGTTTATGGGTGGAATAAACACATGGCAGGACTTCTACTCATTGGCCCCTGGATTTCCCACCTCTGGACATGACCCATTCAAAATGTATCCTGATATATTGGTCATCTTATCTTTGACCACTTAATTTAAGTTTTGTTTTGCAGAAAGCCATTCTTTAAAGTGAATTTCGTTTTGTAAAAATGTTCTTCATTTTAATCAATGTTTCATCAACCAATTGCCTGGATTAATAAGAAGCGAAATAGCAGACAATATTATCAGGACATGCGAAGATGGCGTCAACATTGCCAACTGTATCTTTGCAGCCAGAAAATACTAGTTTATTAATAAACACTGTGTTGTGTTTGACGTCAGATTTGCGCTTCTGATTGGCCAACGTGGCTTTACAGTTAAGGTTTATATCGCCGCCTGCTGGCATGGCATAAAATAATAAAATAGTTAATATTTTATATATCTAAAATTCTGGATATTTTTGCAGAATCACAGTTATGCTGTAATCAACAGCATAAATCACAAACATACAGATCAAATGATGATTGTCATAATATAGACAACATAATTAGATCATTTTTTTTCTTTGTTGATCTGGCAGTTATAACTCAGATACAACAGCCAAACAAAATCTAAAGTTATTAATCAAAGGGTCAAGAGCCCAACTAAAGCAAACAATGATCGCCATAACGGTGGCTTACAATTTTAGATTTTCTCCTTCTTTAGATGCTCAATCATCACTCAATTAATCACTTAATTATCTCATTAACTTTAACACTCATATCTGCATCATATCTTCCATCTGAAAGCAGGTGAAGGAGATTTACTAATAATCAAGGAACCGGCTTTACTGAAGAGATGCGCATAACATATCATGCGATATATCACCCAGCCCTATTTGTGATGTGTATATTAGTGGAGTAACATAATTGTTAGATTAAAATACCTCAGGGAATCAATATGTTTCATGATTATTATAAAACCATCAACTGCTAACCATGATCACCTGATCTCGTGTCACTTTAGCTTTCTTTGCTGCTGTAAATGTGTTTGACAAACACTCTATCACAGCAGCCAATAAAGACAAAAGATATAATAAGAGTTAAGAGCCCAACTAATGGAAACACTAATCACTGTTATGGTGACTTCAAATGAAACACATGTAGCCACATCGAGATGTGCCTTAATTAGCTCAAATTATGCATAGGGAATTTTAATAATTAATCATGAATATGATTAATATATTGCATATTACAGTTAAATTATCGAAATTGAAAATAGATCGATTGTATATATGAATGGTAAATCATAACGAATTATAATTCCTCATTCATATATCAATGGTCTCATTACAGATCGATTATATGAGACAACTTTAAAGGAACACTCCGACTTTTTGGGACTTTAGCCTATTCACCTTATCCCCCAGAGTTAGATAAGTCCATACATACCTTTTTCATCTCCGTGCGTGCTATAAGTCTGTTTGACGCACCCACCGCTAGCCTAGCTTAGCACAAAGACTGGATGTAAATGGTTGCAGCTAGCATACTAATCCAAATAAGTGACAAAATAACGCAAACATTTTCCTATTTTCATGTTGTGATTTGTATCGTCACAGAGTGTACAAAAAACAAAGTCACATGAGACACAGACATATTTTAACCGTATAAATACTGGGAACTATATTCTCTGAAGGCGAAGCACTGCTACTCGGGCGGAGTGATAACCGC